CTGTCTGCCTGCCTGTCTGTCTCTCTGTCTGCCTGCCTGTCTGTCTCTCTGTCTCATTGTCTGTCTGCCTGCCTGTCTGTCTCTCTGTCTGCCTGTCTGTTTCTTGGTCTCATTGTCTGTCTGCCTGTCTCTTGGTCTCATTGTCTGTCTGCCTGCCTGTCTGTCTCTCTGTCTGCCTGCCTGGTTGTCTGTCTGTCCACCTGCAGCGTCGTGCGGTTTGAAGACTGCGTGTCTCAGACTCTGTCTGTCAGGTGCCTCCGTGTTTACGCAGCGCCACTGTCTGGCCCTGCTATTACCATCAGCTGTAATCAATTTTAATTAAACAGATTTCACATCTATCACTTTCTTCCCCTTTCTTCTGACTCAAGCTTTTCTTCCCTCTCATCATTCCAGTTCTTTCCCTACATCCTGCTGCTGGTCGCCGTCCTCATGTATGTGCCGGCCCTGTTTTGGCGCTTTGCGGCCGTGCCCTGCCTGACCTCGGACCTGGCCTTCATCATGGAGGAGCTGGATCGCTCCTACAACCGGGCCATCAAGCTGGCCCAGAGTCTGGCCGCCAGCGAGGCGCCGGGGGACCCGCGCAGGTAAATGCAACCCCCCCCCCCCGTGTATTCATGGAGTCTTTGTGATGGCGTGGGGTCATAGAGACAGATCGAGGTGGTGCTGTGACTGCAGCCCCCCCTGTGGGAGGGGTGGCCACATCTCCACATCACGCCATCACTGTGCGTCAGCCATGGAGACCTTTCGTAGCGTCGCCTCACGGTTATGGTGGTGTTTTAGTGCATTTACACACCCCGGGCAGGCAGCCGTATTCTTGTAAAGGGATGCGATCATAGCCCCAGCCGGGGTGCGGGATGATGGGACCAACCAGACCCAAAGGAGGCTCTGAGTCGGGCTTCTGTTTGGGTGTCGGGGGTGGAAGAGGACCTCTGTGGGGGCGCTGTGTCATGTGATGGAAGCAGACAGTCCTTATGTTCCCAGTTAATGAGCCTTAACAAACAGTGGAGAGTTTGACCCGCGTGGGTATAGTGCAGGGAGCCCAAAGTCAAAAACAAGTAGCGGGAGATAGCTTTGTATTTCGTAAAAGGAGTTTACAGTACCAGCAACACGCTGGGTCTGCACAGCTCCAGTCCAGCAGCACTCCTGCTCTGGCTTCCTCTTAATGTCGTTTTATTTTTATTAAATTGACTCTGATTGGCCCTGGCAGTGTCTGGCTGCGTTACACTGCATTCCGCTGTTTCTATGGAGATCGTCTGTGATTACACGAGTGGATGACCTCACAGACCGTGTGGGTGAAGCCTGGGTTTGACCTACAGGAGGCAGGATCAGATGACCTGCCTTTGGGGTGTTGTATTGCTAGTACCTGTCCTTTGTTTCCTGCACCCCGAATCAAAAGGTTTAATTTCTACCACCCTCCCCCCCCCCACCAACACACACACACACACACACAGACACACACAGCAGTAGGGCTGCACTCTGCACAAATACATCACCACGGTTTTAGACGACTGGTGAAATCCGGGCACTGGCTTTTCAGTGCTATACGGACGTTTACTTGGCCAGTTGATAAACATACACACTCCGCTTTCGCAGCAGCGCCTCGGACCTGACGGAGGGCTTCCGCTATCCGCTGGTGGAGCAGTACCTGAAGACCAAAAGAGCCTCGAGGAGCCTGCTGGTGAAGTACCTGATCTGCCGGGGGCTGACGCTCTGCATCCTGCTGCTGGCCGGCCTCTACTTGGTTTACTACATCAATATGGCCAGCATTACGGACGAGTTCAGCTGCGACATCCGCACGGGCGTCCTGCAGAACGACACTGGCCTCCCCCCTGCCTTGCAGTGCAAGCTGGTGGCTGTGGGCATCTTCCAGCTGCTCAGCCTCATCAACCTGACGGTGTACGTGATGCTGGTGCCCGCCATCGCATACGCGGCTCTGCAGCCGGCGCGTCGGGGCCGTGCCGCCTTCCTGGAGCCCTATGAGATGCTGCCCGTCTTCAGCGTGTTTGACCTGGGATCAGGGCCAGCCTACGACGACCTGTCGCTCTACCTGCTCTTCCTGGAGGAGAACCTGAGCGAGCTGAAGTCCTACAAGCGGCTGAAGGTCCTGGAGATGTTGCAGGGTACGGAGGAGCAGTGCGACACGCTAGGGCTGCTGCGGGCGCTGGGCCAGGTGAGGATGGATGGCGTGGATGGAAAGGGGCCCACAGCCCTGCGGCCCAGGACCGCGGAGGCGACTCGCCAAGAGGACGCCGTAGCCATGAAAGGTGAGCCCCGCTGAGGAGGGAGTATTTCTGTGTTTTAATGTTCTTCAGGGATCAATAAAGGGGATCCATTCAGGGGCAACAGAAGGAAACGGGCACGGCCGACACGATTTATAATTACTGCGTGCATCTCAGCCTCTCACATTAATAATAGCAATAATAATAATAATAATATCATTATTTTTATTATTATTATTATTATTTTCTTTGTTTTTCTGTGGCTGAGCTAGCTGGATTAGCCAAACCGGGGCTCCACGAATAAACAGCCAGTGTAGAGGTGCGTTTTATTCCTGCATTTTCGCCTGTGTAAGTCCTGTCTCCCTGCTGGCCATTGAAAAGCCCGTCCAGAGTTATTGTATTAAACAAACGGTCCAAACTCCTGTTCCTCTTCCTGATACGATTTTAATTCAACCCAAGGCTGGTGTCACCAATACCTACATTCAGCAGTACGGGGGGGGGGCTGCTGATGATAAAAAGTGTCTGTGTGTGTGTGTGTGTGTGTGTGTGTGTGTGTGTTTGTTTGTTTGCATAGATCACATTTGGGGACCAGAATGTCCCCAAAGTGCGGTAGAACCTGACACTTCCTTACCTTTGGGGACATTTTCCAGGTCCCCATTGGACCTCAGTTGTGAATGCAATCAAAAAAGTAAAACTGCCTTTGTCTTGTATTTGGCTTGGTTACTTATGGTTAAGGTTAGGGATGGGTAGAGGTTAAGGGTGTCAAGATTGGGATTAGGGTTTTCCCCCATAGAAATACATGGAAGGTCCCCGTTTAGATAGGTACACAAACGTGTGTGTGTGTGTGTGTGTGTGTGTGTGTGTGTATGTATTCAGAGTGTCAAAGTATGTCCTACTTCACAATAAATCCTAATTAAATGCCACAAATATTCAGCTATTCCATCCATCCATTATCTATACCGCTTAATCCATGTGGGTCGCGGGGAAGCTGGAGCCAATCCCAGCATCTCCGGGCGAGAGGGGGGGTGCACCTACACCCTGGGCAGGTCGCCAGCCCACCACAGGGCCAACAGACAAACAGCCACACCCACTCGCAGTCACACCTATGGGCAATTTAGAGTATTCAGCTATTCCATTTTGCTTTTTAAATCTAAGTGCACTGTAAGATGTTGTAAGAGACAAACACAAAGCACGGCCGAAACCATGAATGTCAAGTTCACAAATGTGAAGGGGTTACTGTACATTTGAAATATCAGTTTGTTGACCGTTTTCTCAACTAGAATTAATAAGGTTGAAACTAAAATATATTTAAAAAAAAAAAAAAATGAAATAAGCTCATGAAATGAGAACTAAAGTGAAACTGGCAAAGACATTGTAGTGACGAAGACTAAAGTGAAACTGGCAATGGCATTGTAGTGACGGAGACTAAAGTGAAACGGGCAATGACATTGTAGTGACGAAGACTAAAGTGAAACTGGCAATGACATTGTAGTGACGAAGACTAAAGTGAAACTGGCAATGGCATTGTAGTGACGGAGACTAAAGTGAAACGGGCAATGACATTGTAGTGACGAAGACTAAAGTGAAACTGGCAATGGCATTGTAGTGACGGAGACTAAAGTGAAACGGGCAATGACATTGTA